TATGCATGTGTGTTATGCTGCAGTACAGAGGGTATGCATGTGTGTTATGCTGCAGTACAGAGGGTATGCTCTCTGCCAGGACATCTTGGATTTAAAACCAGTTTCAACCGTGAGGTTTTGGGCGCGTTTGTCTTTCAGATGGAAACTTGTAGGTGACTCTCGCGCTGTTTCCGCTGTAGATGCTCCCAAGGACATCCTGATTACAGCTGCTTCACAGCACGACTGCAGAGCCGCTTATCTGCCTTATTAAAGATTCATACGGAGGAGTGAAGGGGGCGGCACTGAAAGCCCCCCCCCCCCCCAGTTTACATAGGACTTCCAAGGACATCGGTACTGGCCTTGGGTTTGGGGTCACTGGGCTGGCAGTCCAAGCCCCCCTCCTCCGTCCAGGTCCTTGTTTATCCAGTTCTTATTGGGTTCCTCTGTGGGATTGCTGAGAAACAGGCCAGGAGATGGTATGGTACAGTCTGGGTGCGGTTCGGACCTAGACAGGATTCAGCTGCCCCTGTGAGCCGATTTATTTGACATCATGCAGTCATATAAACAGGTAAAGCTGCCATTCGTTATGTCTCCCAGTTTATACTCAGATTCGCCCTCTGCCCTCTGCTGGGAAAGTGGTATTGGATGGATGGATGGATGGATGGACCAACCACTGAAATGTAAAAAAAAGTCTGCTAATCGGCCTGTTAGCCAGCAGGGGCATGCAGTCTGTTTAGAGGTCCATGTGTAAATCTGGTCAGATAATTGTCACCCGTCGTCAAGCGCCGTCTCTGCTGTTCTCCAGCGGTGACCCTGTCACCTGGCTCAGTCTGGGATGAGGCCAGAGATACACTCAAGGTTACTGATACTCAGCTCCAGATAACTTCCATTCCAGTCATCTTTCTGAATGAGTCTGTTGTATTATTTCTCATTTTCAGACCCTCACAGAGTTTAAATCAAAGTCATTTCTCACCAGAAGTTTTGTTTCCCCCGCGACCATAATGAGTTTGCAGCGTCACGCAGCTTTCTGTCACATCAGGGCCGCATGCAAACGGCTCCCTTGTGCAGCGAGAAACGTTTCTGGCCGTCATGCACTCACACTCTGCTACTGTGCCCTTGAGCAGAAACGCGAGGACTAGGAGGAAACGGTTATTGAATTTCAAAAATGCAGCATGTAACTTTCCTGGTATCTGGATCGATAAGGATTCACGTGCCAGAGTCTATTTCCCTCCGTGTCTCTGAACGGAGAGCTGGGCTCTGATTTATAGGACTGCAGTAAATTTACTGCTGTTGCTGCACTTAACGCTGCACCCTATGCCCCAAGCATCATGGCTGGTGAGATTATGAGGGCTCATAAATGACCCGATTGTCACATATGCCACACTGTCACATAAATCACACCAAGAAAAGATGCTCTCCTAACCTGTATGGTCATAAATATTCAGAGACCTCCCCAAGCTGCTTCAACAGCTGCTGGTGTTCTGGCGTTTCTGTCCCAGAGTTGGGGGTCTCGCTAGCAGTGAGTCGTCTTTGGCCCAGTGCTTTCTATCGATCTCGGAGCTCAGATCTCAGCTGCCGTGCAGACGGTCTCTTGCGGGGAGGGTCAGCTCTGCTGGGTGCATTTCGGATACGGATACGGACAGTGCCGCTGGCCGGGTCACTTCCTGCTGTCTCGGATCACCAGACGGGGCGTCCCGCTGGAGCTGAGCCTGTCGATAACATTGGCTTTTAGCTCGCCCTGCCATGACAGCCGCTGGCGATCGATAACCCGCCTGATGCATGAGAGCTCGCTTTCAGAGATGCGTGACATTCCGCTTTGCAGCCTCACAGAGAGCGGCACCGTGTCCTGAATTCCAGTGCGGAGTCCTGGCTATAGCGTGTGAAATCACTGCACCATTCCCATCCATCCTGTACACGCCTTTAGAGTGTCCTGAATTCCAGTGCGGAGTCCTGGCTATAGCGTGTGAAATCACTGCACCATTCCCATCCATCCTGTACACGCCTTTAGAGTGTCCTGAATTCCAGTGCGGAGTCCTGGCTATAGCGTGTGAAATCACTGCACCATTCCCATCCATCCTGT